ACTGGGAAGGCTTAAAGATCAGGGTAAGCTAGAATATCTGCATAAGTAGTATGAAGGCTCCGTGCCAGCAGGCTGAGGGATCTGTCCTGAAGCAAGAAAGTAGCTGCTCAAGTGAGGACCAGAGCTCCCCTCAAAAAAACTGCAGCCATGCTCAGCAACAGCAAGGACCCGAGCTCCTCTGATGATGAGAAAACCAAGTTCATATCAGGAAAATCGGTGTGACAAGCTTCTCCAGGAGAATAAAGAGCACATCATCTTCCCCTCCAGTTTTCCTTTTATGCTGCTGACCACAATCCTCAGGTGGCCTTTTATACCTAGAACCACATGGAGGATTCATTTCAGCGGGGTGTTACAAGTTGACCTTTGGATAATCCATCACAGTCTTTCTATACTTTCAAAGAAAACTGAGCTTCTTCATCTCCTATTGTTTATATTTACTCCCCCAAAGTATATACAGTCAGGCCCCCATATCTGTGGGTTCCACTTCTGGGGATTCAACCACCCACTGATCAAAAATTATTTGAGAAAAATACTGTGTTTGTACTAAACACATACAGACTTTATTCTTGCCAATATTTCCTAAACAAAACAGCCCAAAATTATTTAATCACATTTATATTATATTAGGTATTTTAAGTAATCTGTATATAAAGCATATATGCATTAAGTTACATGAATATATTCTACCATTTTATTTAAGGAACCTAAGCATCCATAAATTTTGGTATCTGCAAAGGTCCTGGAACCAGTCTCCTATGGAGACTGAGATATAACTGGTATAAGTTTCTAATAAAATTTGGCAAATAACAATTCTAGCACTAAATGTAGTAATTAGAATTTGGACTAAATGAGCTAATGGAAAGATTTGAGGCTTTGGTTTAGACAAAAATGGGGTTTGATCAGGCCTTCTGCCCTGGGTATGAAACATCATGTCCCACAAAACCTAGCAACTCTAAGTCCAAGGAATTAAAGAACGAGAAAGGGCAGCTGGCACAGGGCTCATTGAGCCCTCCAAACGGTGTGTTGTAGAAGACATCCCTCCACCTGAAATTTAGTGTGATTTAAAAACTAACAGTGCTCAAAAACATCGAAACAATTATGATAGCTTCTATTTTTGAGTACATACAATCTGCCATGACTGGCTCTCAGCACCTAACAAACACCCCTTTTTAAAATCTTTTCAACAACAAAGAAGATGAACATTATTATCCCAACTTCATAGTTGAGGCAAGTGAGTTACTGAGCTAGTTAATTTGCCCATAGTTACTTAGTGAGGTCAGCAGAAAAGTTGAGACTTGAATCTGGTTATGAAAATTGCTCCACGGCTTTAACTAAAAGCAAACATGTAGTCTGAGGAAAGATGAAAAATAATTAAAGACTTGGTAAAAAGAATGAGAGCACTATCCCCCAAGCCATCTCACAAGCACTAGAATGATTTGTTATCTGATTTATCTTTTTATTTAGTAATTCCCAAGAAGGAATGTGGGCCTCAATACCCTCAATCCTCTCAACTACAAGTGCCCAAATAAAACATAGGATGCTCAGTGAAATCAGAATTTCAGGTAAACAATTTTCAGGCAAAATAATATTTCAGTAGAACTAAGTCCTACTTAATATTGGGGGTATATTTATATCAAAAAGTTATTTTTAACCTGGAATTGAAATTTAACTGGGTGTCTTGCATTTTTATTTGATTAAAGAGGAGAGGTCAGTAAGGTACCAGCTTGCTTCTGTCTCTGTGGTATTCACAGTTTAAGGTCTCAATTACTTGCTAGGGAATTTCACCTATTTCTTGTTCAAAGTCACGTGCTCCTGACAGATCTATCCTGATGACTGAAGTAAATGCTTAACTAGAGCAAGTGTCATGATCCGTAATTTCTGCTATAACAAAGAGCCATAAGCTAGAAGTTTATAAACAAGAAAATGTACTTTCCATAGGAGAGGTTGTGCATGGATTTATTTTATCAATCTACTAGATGTTCATCAAGAACCAAATCCTGATATTATGTAGAGAGACTAAATCTCCACCTTTGGGAAATACATGCCATGGTGGAAGATGCATTTCACACACAAAGCGAGGCAGAACCTGACCACCTACAAAAGTGTCAGGAATTAAAAGATTCACATATGTGCCCCTAGATGGCACCCTTAAACAAAATACCAGTCAAAGCCTCTGTTTAGCTTCCAAAGCAACAGTTACCCTGGGAATGACACAGAACTTTAGTCTAAGGAAAACGAAACATTTTCCTAGGCAGGGAAACCATCATATCAAAACAAAGTGCAAAGTGTATAAAGACAAGATTTCTCTGAAACTTTAAAATTTAGACACAGACATTTATCTATCCACATTGTCCCATCCCCTACATTTACTTCTTTGTTTGCTAAGGAGAGGAGTTAGAATAGGGTCCCTTGGTTTATAATTACCTTTATTGCCAAGCTTATTTCTGTATTCACCAACCTGATCGTTTCTAGAAATATAAAGTGACAGAAGTAATAACATTGAACATTTCCGAGCCTCTGTTGTGCTCAAAAACAGTGGGTGCTAAGTTCCTTACAGTCAATTGTCCCAGTCTTCACTATAATCCTTTCTTAAAGACTTATTCTCTAGGTCGTTATGGACACTGGACTCAGAAGTATATCACACAGGTCCCTGATGAGAAGAGCCTGGGAATTGTTTGGGAACGCAGCAGATGGGGCTAGTCCCTCTTCACAGAACCATGTTGCCAATGTCACATAGTAGGAACCAGAGCCTGGGACTGACTGCTGGACCCCAGCTCATGGTCTTTACCCTTATGCCCGATGGCAGTGGTTTTCAACCTAGGAGAATGACACTTCCTGGGGAATATTTGGCATTTAGGGGACATTTTTGGTTGTCACAACTGGGGAGGGGCCCACTGGTATCTAGAAGCCATATATGCTGCCAAATAGCCTACAGTCAGAGGAAGCCCCAAAACAATTCTCTCCCCTAAATGCCAACCTCATCCTTTGGCCTGGATTTAGGGCCAGGAAATAGCTCCTGCTCCGACAGGATCCTTGTAAACTGAAGGACTTCCACAGTTTCTCTTAAGTTTTTCATCTGTACAACGAAGATACTCTAACTCTTCTCTCAAAGCTGAAAACATTCGCCTTTGAGGAGTTAAGGTTAAAAGCTTCCAGTCAAAACAGTAGCACACTGCTTGTGCATCTTGAGCTCCACAGAAGCTTCCTGAAGTGTTGGCTCTGGGCGTTTAGGAGGGAAGCCCTAAATTCCTGCACAAACACAAGAGGCTGAGCACTTTCACCTCAAGCCATCGGGGTTAGAGGGCTCACTCTCTCTAAGCCTCAGTCTCCTCATCTGTAAACCTCTCCGAACCAGTCCGGGTGTCCTTTAGCGACTGAGCGAGCCAGCGAGTTGCGCTCTGCTTCCACGCTGGGCTTCTGCGGGTGCAGGGTGGGGCTAGAGGGGCGTGGCCGGGAGGGGGCGTGGCCCGGTGATAGGCGGGGCATGAGGCTCGCTGGTAGGAGGAAGTGACCTAGCCTCCACCCCTGCGAGCGGCGCGTCTTCCTCGGCCAGCGCACGCTGTAGGAGCTGCGGGTTGGCTGCACCAGGTGAGACAGCTGGAAGCCTGTGGCTGGGGATTCAGGGATACGCAGGACGCCCCTGCGTGTCCGGCGGGGCCGCGGCCGCGGGACGTTAGAGAGCGCAGTGCATTCCTCGCCTGCTCCAGTTTGTCCTGGGTTGGTAATTCGGGCGTCTGGTACCCCCAGTCACTGCGTCGCAGCTGGGAGCGCACCGAGAGCTTGGATTCACGCCTCCGAAACCCACTCACCCTCCTACCCTCATCCCCATGCCTGCCGCCAGATTCGCTAAAAGGGCCGTCAGCCCCAACCCGCTGAAACCCCTCCCCATCCTGGCAACCTAGCTGGGGAAATAATCGGGTGCTCGTTCAGTATCTAACCCTCCTCCCTTGGAGCACTCCTTTGTCACTGCTGGCAGAGCAGCTATGAGTACCAACGCGGAACGAGGGTGCTTTCCAAATAACAGACTACCCTACTCCTCTAACCCTGAACCCCGTTTCTCTTTCTCCGTCACACCCCCTTCCTCCTCGCAGTCCCATTCCCGCCTCCAGGTTCCCATTGTTTTCATTGAAAAGTGAGGCCCAGGCGGAAAAGGGGGCAGCTGAATGGGTTTTGGACGACCTCGCCTCAATCCCTGCCACCACCCTGAGAGATGAGCCCCTCCAGGTCCGGGATGGAACCGTTGGGTGGCTGTTTGCTCGCATAGGCGCGGGAGGTGGGAGAGCCAGAGGTTTATTGGGAGCCTTGAAAGGGGCGGAGCCAGTTGGCTGCCTTTGGCTTGGCACGGCTCCCAAACGTGAGAAGTTGGGGCTTGCTTGCTCCTAAGGCTGCTGTGTGCCAGAGGGATGAGTGACAGAGTGGGAATTGGTTTAGTAATAGGTGGATGCATTTGGTGACTATGGCTCTTGGCCTTCTCCCTGCATTCATCCCTAAAAGACTCCTCAAACCGGTCTGGGAAGCACTTAGGATTCCCAGGCTAAAGGAGATCTATTAGGATTACCGAGCTATTTTCTGCCAGCTATAGAGGTGAGACTGGGAGAAGTGACTATTCCAAAGTCAAGATCTATGCCAGCTGCAGGTCTAAAGACAACATGGGGTGAAGACATTGACCTTCCTTTGTCCAAAAAAGGAGAATCTCTAGCTGAGGCTATTAAATGTACATTATATTTATATATATTTTATTATATATTATATATATTATATTTTAACGTACATACCAAATCCTGTGGATTATAAAAGGTAGCTTCCAGGGCCGGGGATTTAGCTCAGCGGCATAAGCGCCCCCCTGTAACTCACATAATTAGCATGTGGGCTATCCAATAATAAATGTGAGGCTCTTGCAGTTCATTTTGGCCACGGCGAAAGAGTGTGGTAGACTTTTTGTACTATAGGTCAGGTTAGTTGTAAGGCAGAAATAGAAAAGAGATCTGAGTGTTTTACCAGACAATTGTTCTGGGAAATGTAAAATAAGAATGATATTTTTCTTAGTTGAAAATTCAGAGTTAAAAACTTACTGCACAACTATCCTTGGAAATTGATGGAAAAACAAGGTGCTTCCAGGATAAAGAGGAACTAGGGGAATATGCAACCACCAATTCAACTCTACAGAGAATACTGCAAGATATTCTAAAAAAGAAAAATACGAAGAATCCAGGAGTAGCGGCAGAGAGGCCACAATTAATGGAGCAGAAAACAAAATGAAAAAGACAAACTGACAACTAATGACAGAAAAAGAGCTCAACAGAAATGAGGCAGAGAAGATTGGATGATAGGAACAGCTATTTTGGGGAGAAAATGATGTCTTAAGAGGTAATATTGATTTAGTATCATCTTGTTTTGAAGTCTCATCAAGCTTTTGTTCTTCTGTCTCCATTGGTCTAAACAGGTGGTATCTTATTGGATTTTATTATATATGATACTATAAGCAAAACCTTTTATAGACAAGGAGATTATACAAAAACCATTGTTTATTTTCTGTTAGTTGATTCTAAATACCCTGTAATACTGTCATTCTCTTGAATGGCTTTACATTGTTTTGATATATTTGATGCTACAGTATACAAAGTTATGCTCAAAGATTTCAAGGAAAGAGACAATATGGTAACTACTTTTATGTCGGGATAATCTTATGGTGACACACTATTTTGCTTAAATGGTTATGTTTTGATCTGCGCTGATTTACTGTTACGCCCTCCTTTATCTCAGTCTCCATTTTATTATTTACTTTTTTTATCCTTTTAATTAAGGGAAAAATAAATTAAAAAATAGCAGGATATATTATAGTAACCCACTTTGACTTTCCATTATCTTGATTTAAAGCCCTGTATTGCTGTCACCATCTTGTTTTGACTGATGTTCCTCTATTCTATTTTGCTTGATAGTACCAGGTTTGAAAGTTTAGGCAACAGCTGTGAAGATAGTAGGATTCATTATGACGCCCACTCTGGTTGACTATTATCTACTTTTGAAGACCTATAATGTCTCCAGTGTTTTGGTTTTGTTCTTTACTGTTTTGTTCAATTTTATTATAACTAATGATATAGGAAATTCTATTAGAGATAGCGGGAGACATTATGGTAACCATTGTTGATCACCTAGTATTATGCTTTTACATTATCTATTACGTCCACCCTTTTGATTTGCCTGACTGTTCTGTTATGTCACATTTGGTTCTACTCTCTTCCAAAAAAGTAATAAGAACTGTGGGAGCAACAAAACCCAAAATGTGTAATTGTCATTGTACAAAAGAGAGGAAAAGAAAGTGCTCTAAATGATACAACTGCATGTATATTTAAGTGTATAAGGTAGATAATGATATTACTGAGTTTTGTTGGATCATTGAACAGAACTGTTTGCAGTCTCACTGTTGGAATGTCCACTTTATAAACTTTAATTTTGTAACTTGAACAATTGTTTCTGAGATGACAAAATGTAATCCATTAACTAGTGATTTCCTACTGTTTATTTTTTCTGTAAATCTGTATAACTTGTACCCTTTCTCTGCTATTTTTTCTTTTCTTTTTCTCCTTAAATAAAATTTAAAAAAAAAATGATCCCATAACACAAACACTGTGCATACTCACACACACAAGAAAATACATACTTGGCCCTGTTAATTCTTATTTTTATTTTAAGTCCTAGTTTAAATATTACTTCTTTAGGGTGGCTTCTCTTAATCTTACAGATATATATATATATTTTGCTATAAGCTTGTATGGGTTTTAAAATAAAAAAGGAAACTACTTTTCTCAAAAAAAAAAAAAATAAACTTACCTTGAAGGAGGGGAGGGGACGGGATGTAAAAGGAATTAGGAAATGTTAGGTATGTGTACCTTATGAAGAATGTAATCATTATGTGCTGTAAACATGCCTTAATAAAAATTAAAAACAAAAAGTAACAAATTGCTTTTATTAAAAATTAAAATTATGTGAGATTGAGACAGTCCTAGAAATTCCAAGTTGTTTGGTTACAGAATGCAGTAAGATCTGTCCTCGAGGCAGGCTGTCTGGGGGAAAGATGTAAATAAGGAAATTTGTGGCCGAGTAAAGAAAAAAAAGCAAATTGGCAAAGGCCACTATTGTATAAGAGAGAGAGAAAAAAATGAAATGGAATTTCAAATACTGTTTAAGTGTTCTTGCTCTCTGAATATTGTTTTCAGCATTTTGTAAGACTAAATAAATACAAATCTTAGAAATAATACTGTCAACGTTTTGTGGTATGTCTTTCTACATAATTTACTACGCAATGTATACATAAATATATGTGTATGTAACAAAATAGAGATTTTTGTAATCTTTTAAAAAACTTAGGAACATCTTTTCATGGCACCAAGTAAACATTCATTTAATGACTGTGAATTTATCATTAGTCAACCAGTTTCCCACTAATGGACAGTTTCTTCTCAGTGTTTTGCTAGTCTTGCTATTATCAACAGAGAAGTGATGCACATCTTTTGGGTACATTTTTCTATTTGATTTGTTTTTCTTCAGAGTCCTATAAACTGCTGGATTAGAGTGTGTGCAATTTGAAATTGTTATAAATACTGCCAAATTGTCCTCCACCTGCATACCTACCATCAGTGGCTGGGAGAGTCAGCCCTCTTACTGAACAAAGTGGATAGAAACTACTAATGATTTAAGCAAATTTTTTGTTTCTTCCAGTGAGAGCAAGAGACTGAGAAACATGAGAGAGTGGATTGCGCACTACACAAGAGAACTTGCTGGCAGGAGAATTAACCCCCAAAGCGATTAAAGTGAGTTTCAAGATGGCCAAAGAAGAGCTCCCGAGTGTCTCAAAGGACTTACAGGAGCTGCAGAAGAAGCTGTCTTTCCTCATAAAGTCCTTTCAGAATAACTCAAAGGTCAGTTTCCAATTACTATGGGTGAGTAAGTCCCAAATTAACTTTCATGTAAACGAGACAAAAAAATAATTAATAGAAGAAATTTGGAGGTAGATCAGAAATCTTTCTAGCTCACTACTCTGCCATGTCTAAGTTATGACCTTCATATTCATTTTCCAAAACTATTAGTAGACCATCAGACATCATATCCATATTCCAGACAGTAGCCATCCCACATGCACAGGTGACTTCCTAGAAGTCGTGCACAACACTTTTGGTTATGTCTCACTAGGCCAAAATTTGGCTGAATGACCTTCTTTAGTGGAAAATTCAATTCTCTAGCATTCTCACTCTATCATACACATACTATCCTTTTCTGGTTTTATTGTTAATTTTTTGCTTATCTCTTATCCTGAAAATGAAGGGCCAAAGCCTATTTTAAAATTGTGGTCCAGTATTCTATGAGAAGTCCAGTGTCTAATTGAAATGTGACATGAGCCATATGTAGTAAAACTTTTTAGTAGCCACACTTAACAAGTAAAAAGAAATAGAAATTTAAGAATGTATTTTATTTAACCTAATATATCCAAAACAGTATTATTTGAATGTGTAATCATTGTAAAAAATTAGTAGTGAAAAAAGTTCTTGAGATGTTTTTGTAATCATTTTAATAATGACTCTTTGGCCCAGCCGCGCCTAGCCATCGGTGTGCAGAGGAGGAGCTGCGCGGGATCCGGTGAAGTCTGATATACGTTTTACACTTAAAGGACACTGGAATTCAAATTTTCAAATTAGCCATTTTTCTTTTCCTTTTCTTTTCTTTTTTTTTTTTTTTTTGATACCAGGGATTGAACTCTGGACCTCGAGCTTGCCAGTCAGGTACTAATGCCACTAAGCTAAATTTTTGGCCCAAATTAGCCATTTTTCAAATGTTCAGCAACCTCTCAATGGCAATGAGACTTGAGATAGCATATATGGTTTTCTTGCAAATTTATCTTTACTGCTTTCTTCTTTTCTATGACTTTCAGCATTTTATCAGGGAAAAAAAAACAGCTTTCAGAGATAATTCTATTATCATTTTGTTATATGTCTTTGTAGAGTTATGCAGTATGCCTATAAAAATACACATGAGTATAGAACAAAATGAAGTATTTTACGATTTTTTTAAATTAGATAACAGTTCCACTAGAGTTCCCATAGGGAAATATTTCTTTGAGTTCTAGAGCAATACTCTACGGAGACCTAGGCTTACTCCAAAATGTACCTGTCACTCTTTGTGGATTTACTGAACTATTTTAAAACCAGACAAACAGATTTCTAGTCTGTTCACTGAGAATCTTGTTATTAAAAGTTGGTAACTAAGGTTCCTATGTATACAGTTGATTCTCATTATTTGTGGCAATTATTTTTTATATAATATCACCACAAATACTGCAATAAGAAGTGTCAAAACATTGCTCTTGGGTGAAATACAGATTTCAATTTCTTTGAACTTCTGGCCATGTTTCTGTTAACTGATCAACATATAACCTTGTTTTATGTGTATTTCTGTTTAAAGACATTTCAGTATATATTATTGATCATTAGTATCCAATTCAGGGCCAAGATCACTGGAACTCAGGTCTTGAACAAACATGTGCATGTTGTAATATGTATTTTTTTTTTCCATAAAATATATCACTGCCTTCTTATGAACACTAAAGAGCATTATAGTACCACATTTTGGGGGCCACTTAAACAGTGAAGCCCCAGTCAAAAGCACAAAAATATGAAAAGTATAATACGAAAAAGATCATAGTTTAGATCCAAAGTATCCAATGTTTTAGTTTACCTGGGCTGCATTAAGTGAAGAGGAATTGTTTTGGGCCACATATAAAGTATAAAATATAGCACATGTACATGCATAACTAAACTTCCTTTATATGTTTTAAATTTTTAATTATAATTTTTTTAAAAGGACAACAGCTATACCTGTGTGAAAAGCTTAGTTCCCAGGGTAGCACTATTGGAAGGCTGTGGAACCTTCATGATGTAAGGTCTAGTGGGAAGAAGTTAGGTCATTGGTGGGGAGCATGCTCTTGAAGAGGAGTATAGAACTTCACCCCCCTCCTTATTCTCTCTTGCTCCCTGGGTTCATCTTGTGACACCAGACATTTTGCCTGGCTCCTGAATAGCTCTAGGTAGAGACTTTACCGTATAGTCCCTAGCTTGAAACTCTTAATGTTGGGGTATATATTTACAAATAAGTAGTCTTTAATTATCTAATGTTGGGCAAGCCAGTTGGGCTCATTGTATTTTTAATCTCTTTACTAAAATGAGCAGTGGCAGGATCATAGACATGTTGTGTGGATTATCGGAGATGCCTGGACTCAGCCTGGTATTCCTGGGTTGTTCAGAGCAGTACTATTCCTGTAGTCTAGGTAGAAAGCTCATATCTGCCTCCAGGGTGGGGATGGAAAGTTATAAAGCATGTAACTGCATAATGAGCTCTCCCACTTTTCATCCTCCCATTGTGTCCCCTCTGTTATCACGATAATGAAAATTTTACTGTTATGTTCTGACGCCCTGGACTTAGATAATGCTGTTACCTGTCTCACAGCCTTGTAGGGGGAATTGCATGAGTAAATACACAGAAAGCACTCAGAACAGTGTCTGGCACCTACCTGCATGTTTAATGGTGGTTCTCTGTTTAGGTGTGGCTGAACAGGAGAGAGGGCCTGAGTAGAGCCATTCTTCCTGGAAAACAACAGTTGCTAGACCTCACTGTTTGAATCTTACAGGAATGACTTTCTGGCTTGTTTGTTTTTAGCTATAGAGTCCAGTCCAGACACAGAAGAGGCTGTGAAAAAGTAGATCCTCAAGAACTGGAAGTAGGATAGTCTTACCTTTTTCCTTTTTAATCCCTATGCCAAATTGTGCCTAAGTGTCATGGGTTTTTTCTTTTGTTAGTCAAATTCCAAGCTACACTGCCCATGTATCCTCTCTGTCTGCCATTAATCTAGGTTTAGCCACTGTGCAGATCTCCCTACTGCTTCTAGCATGTGTACCAGGTTCATCTTCCTTAAATTGCTCCTTCAGTTATGTCACAGTCCTGATCAAATGCCCCTAGTTTTCTCCCCTCCATTGAAAAAAAATTTAAATGATTATAGTCCTATGGATATATATCATTTTAAATTTTTAAGAGTCATGTTTTAAAAAATAAGCAAATGAAATTAATTTCAGTAGTGCATTTTATTTAAGCCCGTATATCTCAAACACTGTATTTTCAGCTTATAATCAATATAATAATCACTAATGAATTATCCAACATTCTTTTTTTTATCTCAATTCAGATTCCAAATTTCCACTGGAAATATTTGGCTCTTTAATCAGTATTCATACAATTTACAGTTTAAAATACTAGATTTGCATGATTAACCTATTTGAAATATACTTAAGTTTTCCAGTGACTGAATCAACGTCACATTTTGGGTTTTGTTTTTACTTTTGCTTTTGAGACAGTGCCTTGCTGTATAGTTCAAGCTGGCCTTAAGTTCACTATGTAGCCCAGGCTGGCTTTGAACTTTTAGCAGTCCTCCTGCCTCAGCCTCCTGAGGGCTGGGATTACAGATATGCACAATATGTCTGACTTAAATGTCAGTTTTTAAATTTAAGGTTAATGAAAAATCCTGACCATTGGTCATACTAGCAAGGAGTGAGCCTTGGTGTGGTCATCTTTGGCAAAAGAAGCTAAATAACAAGTTCTCAATGATCCTATAGGGCTGCTGCTGGACAATGCAAGTATGAACCCTTTAGCCTGGCATCTGGGCATCCCAGTCTTGTCTACCCTCCCTGCCACACAGATGTCCCTCACTGGCAAGGCCCACTAACCATGTGCACTGCTTGATCCCTTACCTTGCCATCTTCTCCACTATCATGCTTCTTTGGGCCCTTTTGAATGTTAGGATCAGAGAAACAGCCGAGTGTGTCAGATGACATAGGGGGCATTTGCCACGAGGACACACGAGCATCCCTTTCACCTCCCTTTTGCCTTTGGCACCCTAACTTAGGAAGTTCTCGCTGGCTTTGATAATGGAATGTCTGGGCTAGAAAACCCTAGCTCAGAAGTAAATCTTGGTATGATCATCTCTGGCTAAAGAAGCTAAATAGCAAAGTCTTTGGCAATGTTTGTCAAAATGGAGAAGCAGGAGGTAGTGTGGCCAGTGGGCATATGCCTTGCTGTGTCTTCTCAAGAAGTGAAATTCATCATGCTTTGAGAGTTTTTCTTTGGAGGCAATGTAGAGACCCCTAGACAGATACCTATGGCTCTTGGAATGGCTTTTCCTATTCAAGCAGGGTCAGCCCTGCACTTTGATTGCCATCTTGAACTATAAAACTTTCATGTTTTCAACTTACCCCCAAATTTCCACCACTGAATCATTTGAGTGAAATCTGTCTCCAGGAAACAGCTGTGTTTTGGAAAGTGGCACCTGTCACCACTGTATTTGGATTATGTTTTCATTTCAGTCACTTAGCCTGCAAAGCTCTCAAGAAGAACCACTTTTAATAGAGGAATGTTTGGAAATAATAGGAGCTTTCAGGGGAACAGGATCTATGGTGTGAGTACTGGGAAGAGAGAAGGTGGAGGCTTCAAAAGGGTAGGGGGCAGCCCATCCTTGCCAGGCTGCCTGGGGCCAGCCCTGCTTCAAAGCCATTCCCCTTTCACTGAGTCAGATCCTAAAATCACATTTGTTAAATCCGTATGTGCTTACAGTTGGCATCAGGCTGTATACAACTTGACATCAAGGTCAGTGACAAAAGCATTTTTATCTATTGAGGTAGCAGCTATTGCTTACACTTGACTTTTTTTTTTTTTTTTTTTTTTTTTTTTTTTTTTTTTGGCAAAGGCCTTAGCTTTGAATGCCTAGACTGTCAGTTGAAAGCTGGTCATTTGCAATAAGTCATTTAACCATTGATTCTCAAACGCTAATGTCTGTACACATTACTTGGGAATCTTGTTGAAAAAGCAGAACTGGATTCAGCAGGTGTAGGCTGAGGCCTGATGTTCTGCATTTCTAGTAACTCCTGTGTGATACTGAGTAGCTAGAATTTAACATATCTCTTCCTCAGAGGCCTTCACTATGAGAATATCAGCTGTGAATTAGGCAAATCGCACCTACATCTCATCAGTACATATAGTTGAAGATGTCTTCAGTGAGGGCATGTGCTAGGCAAGAGAGCTGCAACTGTGTGTTTCTTCTTCTTACAAGGCCTGACACTGGGTGGTGACTTCAAACTTGCCACTTGACCCAGAGCCACCTTAAATGGTTGCCTGGATTAGTCATATCTGTAATGAGGCCTTACTTAGCACCTTTCCAACTTGATGACCTCTGGTTGTCCTTTCCACGGCTTAGATGGATTCATTCACCCCGTGATTCAGACATGGCACTCAGACCTGGTTCTTTGTCCTTTGCTGACAGGTGGTTGCCTTCATGAAGTCTCCAGTGGGTCAGTACTTGGACAGGCACCCTGTCCTGGCTCTCTCCATACTGGTGTTTATGGCCATGTCTGCTGTCCCTGTTGGATTCTTCTTGCTCCTCGTGGTGCTCAGTACCCTGGCCGCACTTGTGGGAGTCATATTACTGGAAGGTACCCTGCTCAGTTACTGGAAATTGACTACAGCATTGACTGGGCATCTGCCATTTGTGTCAAAGGTTCTCATTCCAAAATAAGGCAGCTTGTCAGAGCAATTAAAACATGGGCTCTAGAGTCTGCATTGCAAAGCACCTCCACTAGTGTGATTTTGGACAAGTTATTTAGCTTTTCTGAGTCTCAACCTGTTCCGTGGGTAACAAAAATGAGTAAAGAGACTCAAGTGATATAATGTGGGAACAGTGAGGCCTGGAAGGACCTTGAGAGCTAGCTGATTGCTGTTGTGCAGTAACGCACACCCAAGTTAAGTGGTATCACAAAATCTGGATTTTTATGGAAATCTTACTTAACAATTTTGAGCTGTCATTATGTTGACATTATTTTCTCATTATTTTGACTGGGCCAGAGTTTACCTGTTTTGAACCAGGTTTAGATGACCGCTAATCATGACCCTAATCATGTTGTCTTCCTAGGGCTGGTCATTTCTGTGGGTGGCCTTACACTACTTTGCATCCTCTGTGGCTTGGTCTTCATATCACTTGCCATATCAGGGACAATCATGATGTCTTATGTGATGGTCTCCAGCCTCGTCAACCACTGGTTTTCTTACAGGTAAATACATATTAATGGAACAATTTAATCTTGGCTTTCGGGGGATTTTCTAAGATAATGTTCTAGCACCAGTGGGTGTCTAGAAGGCACATTGTCCTCATAGTTCCCCATCAAGAATGTTGATTTCTTTAAAAGGATACCCATTTAATCTACAAAAGTCAAAATAAGGTGTGTTTGCGGGGGAGGGACTGGGGGGATGTTGGAGAAAGAAAGAGATCAATAGGGGAAGAAATGATCCATTATTCTACTCAAGATTCGCATCCCTAGAAGGTATAGGAGCCAGGAATCTGTCTGTCTTGAAAGTGAGTCACATGTTTGAGTGTATGGATTTTGTTCCTATAGTATAGCTCCTAAATCCTGGGATTTTTTAATTAGTTTTCCCCATTGCTGGTCACAATACCTTGAAATTCACAGTTTAAGGAAGAAAGGTTTAGTTTGAGGTTTGGGGAGATTGAGTCCATAGTCAGCTGACTTCAAGGAAGTAACATCATAACAGAAGAGCCTGACAAAACAGAGCCATGTAGGCCATGTCTTCATGACCCACTCAGATACACCGAGGAGCAGGTTCTGCTAATCTGCTAGCATTTATTCATTCAATGAAGTTGACATAGCAGAAGTAACAGTCACAGCCTGATTGTGACCTACTCAAATTGGTAATAAATTCTGGAGTCAAACTAGTTGTGTTAAAATTACTAGAGATATATTTATTTAAAATATGCTCCCCTCCTAAGAGATTTTTCAAAGATAATCTTTTTTACCCTTGATTTTTGTCCTATGTATAATTTTACTCATATGTCTCCATGAAGTCCTTTGTAGTTCTTCCTAATTTGATGAGAGTGGCTGACACCTCTTAGTGCTTGCTTTGTGTCTGGGTCTGTGTTAAGCTTTTTCTAGCCTCATATCACACAATCTACTATGTCATCAGGAAAATGAATCAAGACCCAAAGCTGAGAGTAGCCAAGAAGGTACCTACATCTAGGTCAGTTAATTCTAAAGTCCTTATAACTTAGATACCAAGAGACTCTTGGAAATTTCTGCAGAGGGCCAAATGGTACATATATTCAGCTTTGCAGGCCATGTGGTCTCTGTCACAGCTGTTTAAATCTGTTGTAGCATGAGCAAATGATAAGCAAATTAACGTGGGAGGAGCTGTGTTCTAATAAAACTTTATTTACAAAAACAAGGCTGGTTGGATTTGGCCCATAGATCGTAGTTTTCCAGTCTTTGCTCTAAAAAAACCAATACTTTTTTTTGAGTTTTTTCATCTACAGATAGCCCTTGAATAACTTTTCAAAATGTCCAATTGTTATAATGTGTTAAAGTAGGTGTAATGTAAATCGCTCAGAGCTGGTTCTCACAGAATTGCTTAACTGCTTTTTATAAATTGCCTTGATCACTATCAGACTTAAAGAAGAGAAAACAAGAAAATGTTGGCCTCTTTGGCTTATACAGGGTGATGTGCCTGAGTCAAATCCTTTCCTGGCCTCTGAACCCTGCTCTAATAGGCAAGTCCTTAAAAATCACACCATGGGCTGTAGAGAAATCTGAATAGCTGTTTATCAACAAAGGGACTGATTGAGGACTTGTACTTCATTTCCTTACAGTCCCCTTCTCTTCCCCAGCCAGGCATTCAGGCCATAGTTTTTACTCATTTTCATTTGAGCAGAGATTCTAGACCTTTTTGTTCTCAGGACCCATTTTACCCTCTTAAAAATTATTGAGGCACTCAAAGTACTTGTTTTCTTGTGGGTTCGATGTATCCAATAATTACTGTATTAGAAATTAAAGCAGAAATCTAAAAACTATTTACTTAGAAGCAACAGTGTTGCCCACTGATAGAAAACAAAACATGATGTAGTTTAGGCCAGGTGTTGGTGCACACCTATAATTCCAGCCTGAGGCAGGAGTATTCAAGTGACACCCTTAAAAAAAAGGGAATAAGCAGAGAGTGGTGGTGCAATCCTATAATGCCAGCACTTAGGAGGCTAACGCAGAAAGAGCACTGTGAGTGAAAGACAGCCTGGACTACATAGTAAGAACCTGTCTCAAAAAGATCAGACAAATAAATGAAAAAACCCAAAAAGAAGAAAGCCTTCTTAATTTTTTTGTTACCAAGTCGGAGTTTAGGTGGCAATTAATGAATAAAACCCGTAAATACTAACTTAAAGAATAGGGTTTATTTTTATTGCATAATAAAAAGGTATAGAGAGCCTAGGGTCATATAGCCACTCTGGTATCAAGACACCAGGAACCTTCTACAAGAACTCTGTGCTGTCATCCTTAGCTCATTGGTTTGCCACACGATGGCCACAAGATAGCAATGTTTACACCAGGTATGTTTACAACAGGAAGAAGGGAGGAGGAAAAAGGAGTGTTTATCAATAACCCTTTTTATTAAGTAAGTAAAATCTTTTCCAGGTCTTTACCTCATTCTCCCCTAAACAGACTTCAGTGACCAGAACTTTGTCAGATGGCAACATTGAGCTGGGAGTGTTCAGCTTTCTTCTGTTCAGAAGCATAAACTCAGAAGTAGAAGGATACAGGGAGTGGGTGGCAATCAACATGACACCCACAGTCAGTGACAGCAAGGCTATTTAAAATTCAAAGATGACTTATAAGACCTGTTAATACTGATAAAGTTACCATGCATCTCACTGGTCCCAGGCAGTCCCAGGGACTGAAAAATGCATATCAATTTGTGTTTTTTCCCCTGTACCTTTGGTACTTCCATTGAAGGTGTCAGAAAACTGACTGGAATCAGAAGATAGGGTCTCTGTGTTTTGTTTTTGTTGCTGTTTTTGTTTTGTTTGTGGTTGTTTTATGTTTTTGGCTGTGTGATGTTGAACAAGCTACTTAACTTCCCTAGTAACAGTTCTTTTCTACTGGTAAAATAGAGCTATTGCTTGCTCTTCCTTTTTTTGCTGCAAAGACATAGGTATCTGGGGAAAACACAATATCCAAATTAAGAGAAGGGAAGGGGGCCTTCACCCTCTCCATCTTCCAGTCATTTCGAGCTCCTGTGCCCTCAGTTTCCTTATCTGTACAATGGATGTGCTTCTAGTAAGATGTGGTTTCAAGAAGCAGCTAAAAATATCAGCAAGGAATGTCACCTGTTCAGCAATGTACACTGTCAGCACTGACTTTGAACTAACCATTTTTTGTTCCCAAACAGGCCACTGGCAAAGCAAAACCCTAGTGTCAACTGTCAGCTGGGTATGAAAGGGCACCACCAAGAATGACCGGCTGGATGGAACCAGGAGTGTTTTCAGACTTCTCAGGAAAGCTTCTGGGTCATGCTCACCCCTTGGGATTATGATTCAGAGATTATGAGAGGCTGGATAGTTAGCCACTCATTGGCTATGTCTTCCAGCTTCTTCACATCCTATGTATAAAATCCTTCAGTGCCTAGGTGGCCTCTCATCCCCCACTCTCAAGTATGTAAACTTGACCTTGGCAGCGCATGGGGCCTCCTGAACTAGCCTCAGGACTAATGTCCAAAGTCCCAAGGCAACAGTAATTTTTTTTTGAGAATATTTTAATTTTTGAAATGAGGGAAACTGTTTGTTTTTTCCACTCATTTGAAATACAGAGTGAAAAAAAAAATCCAAATCAGAACCAGCTTTTCTGCCTTATTCACTATTTAGCAGAAAGAATAGTGCAATTTGGGAAAGTTGTCCAAGAGTCTTTTTGAAAAAGTTTCAAAGTATAGTTTCTGCTATTACTGTTGAGTGCTGTTTGGTGTTGTTGATACTTTTGTATTGATTTTAAGAACTTGTCCTATTAAGCAGGACTATAAAGCACAAATGAAACATTGTATATGATTTCTACTTCATTGGTTTATTTGCTGTGTCTTATGAAATATTTGTTTAGGTGGGTTTTTCTTCTATACTCCTTTTCCTCCCCACCCTCAACATGAGACCTATGTCAGATTTCCATCATTGTGGTTGCCTTAGTACTTGTCTCATTGCTGGGACAACATACCCAACACTGTCAATTTAAAGGAAGAGAAGTTTGTTTTTACTCACTTTTTAGAAGTTTTAGCCCTTGCGTGGTTGAGGGGGACATAGTGGCGGCTGGTGGGCAGAGTGAAGCTGCTCATGTCATGGCAGCCAGGAAGCAGAAAGAGTAAAAGGAGGAACTAGAGAGGGCGATACACCCTCCAGGTCATGCCCACAGTGACCCGTCTCTTCCAGTCAGACTCCATCTCCTAACAATTCAGCTATACTGCACTCATAATCTAATCACCTCATAAAACCCTATGGTTGCATGCGGCTGTGTGGGGTTATCTATGGCAAAATAGTGACAGAGTACCTGAGATAAATCAACCTAGTAAGAGAAAGTTTAATTTGCCTCATGGTTTCAGAGCTTTCAGTCCATAGTCATTTACCTGTAGATTTGGGCTTCCGATGGCCCAGCACATCATGGCAGGAGCATGTGGCTGCCTGAACTGCTTGTTCATGCTATGGCAATCTGGATGCAAAAAGAAAGGGGCCAAAGTCCCAATATGCCCTTTAAGGATACACTCAAATGACATAACTTACTCTCAACTCCTAAAGGTTCACCACCTCCAGTAGGACTCCAGGCCAGAGACCACAACATGGGGGTCCCTGGGGACCATCAAAATCATGGCATCTACTATTCCTTGTCTGTTGATTTCATGGAAAATCCTGGTTAATCTGAGTTTTTTTTTTATATTTTTATTTAAAGAAAGACTAAACATAACAGTAAATGGGTAGACATAATACATATGTTCAAAGAAAAAAACAGTAATAAATCACTAGTCGATGTTTACATATTGTCCTCTTACAAATAATTGATACAAAAATGGAACATATAAGTGGGAATTCAGGGAGATTGCAAATAGTTCTATTCAACTATCCAACAAAAACTTAGTAACATGGTCATCTATCCTATAACTTAAACATATATGCAGTTATCCATATCTTCATTTATACTGAGATTAAACAAACCAAAGCAGACTAAAATGACTCTGGACAAAGAATAATAGTATTGCGGGATTTCACATCATAATACTCCAGGATCAGCACTGTGTACTGTAGCGTCTTCCTTCCTTCAAAGTATTTGTTCATTTCATCATGTGTCGTAAGATCAGTTCTTGTAAACTGTTCATAGGTTCTACACATGCATGAGTCTTGTATTTCTATCCTTTCTATATTAGAGGGGGAAACAAAGTAGGACAGAACAGAACATCTTCCTATAGGTACGTAAAACAAAAAAAGACATGTAAAACTGCTGTACAAGGAGCTCTACCATGGTTACTGTGTTATCTCTTGATAGAATTGGCTATATCATCAGATATATATAATTGAATTTATCAGTATATAGCAGTATTGATAAAAACACAACTTTGTAGAGAGTGTTAAACTGCAGAAACAGGTAGTAATCAAACCAGAATGGGTATTGTAGTGAATCTGGTCATTTTCAGTATAGTTGTCTATACTCTCAGACATACTATCAATTATAACATTTTTGAATAAAATTTGTTGATAACAAACAGCAATCAAATCAGATTTAACTAAGATCAGTTATGACATAACAGTATAAGTTATACAGGGCTCCAGATTAAGTTAATAGGAAATTAAAGATGATTACTGTGCTATAAGCTGACATTTTTGGGATGGCTGTCTGTGCCCTCAGTTCTAGTGCTTGTAGACAAACTAGGATGGAATAAGCTCTTATCTAAGCAGAGCGGTGCGACTAATATGGGCTTTGAATCCTGATACACTAGTAACAATATCTTCTGATGTCTTTTTAAAGTCTATTCCTCTCCTTTCACTCCCTCAGGGAATACTGTGCATTTCTGGGTCTCACCAACACCCTCGGCTTTAAATTGGGGGGTGGGGGCAACCTGCTATTTACCTAAGTGGTTCCGAACCTTCTCCCTCCTAGATTCGATCTCTAGTTGTATTCCTTTACCCATTAAAGCCTGTATTTCCCACCTATCCTCAATTACTAGTCTAATTACCCCTATTACTCTGGTTCCCTGTCACATAGAGCATCGTTTTCTCATATTTGATTTTTCAGTCCATATACCCTTTTTCAGGTTAATTATATTTCCTGTAAAGAGCATCTCAGTGGACTCTACCTCCTACTCTGCCTATGATTCTCTTTTTTTAATTTAGTGTATCAAAGCCATCTATATTAAAGAGTATAACCAACCTTCTCTGCCTCATTTCTGTGGTGCTCTTTTTTTGCCATTAATTTTTTGCTTGTCTTCATTTCGCTTTCTGCTCCATTCATTGAGGACTCTCTGCCACTGTTCCTGGAATCCTGGTACTTTTCTCTCTCTCTAGAATGCCCTGCAATATTCTCTGTAGAGTTGGATTGGTGGTCGCGAATTCCCCCAGTTCTTCTTTGTCTTGGAAGCATCTTATTCCTCCATTAATTTTTTTTTTATTTAAGGAGAAAAAGAAAAAAAAACAGAAAAAGGGTACAAATAATACAAAATTTAAAAAATAAACAGTAAGAAATCACTAGTTAATAGATTACATATTCTCATTTTAGAAATAGTTGTTCAAGTTACAAAATTGAAGCATATAAAGTGGACTTTCAAACAGTGAGAGTGCAAACAGTTTTGTTCAATGATCCAAAAAAATTCAGTAATATGGTTACCTATCTTATACACTTAAACATATATATGCAGTTATAACCTTTAGAGCACTTTCTTTTCTTTTGTACAATGACAATTACACATTTTGGGTTTTATTACTCCCACAGTTCTTATTACTTTTTTTGAAGAGAGTAAAACCAAATGCGACATATCAGAACAGAGTCAGTCAAATCAAAAGATGGACATAATAGATAATGTAAAAACAAAATACAAGATGATCAACAATGATTACCATACTGCTTATGCTATTTTAAGAAGAATTGCCAGTTATAATAAAATTGAACAAAACAGTAAAGAATAAAACCAAAGCATTGGAGACATTACAGGACTTTAAAAAAAGATAATAGTCAACCAGAATGGGTGTCATAATGAATCTTACTGTCTTCACTGTTTTGCCTATACTTTCGAACTTGGTACTATCAAGCAAAGCAGAATAGGGGAAAATTAGTCAAAACAAGATGGTGAGGGCAATACAGGATTTCAAATCAAGTTAATAGGAAATCAAAGTAGGTTACTATAATGTATCCTGCTATTTTTTTATTTTTCCCTTAATTAAAAAGATGAAAAAAGTAAATAATTTTTAAAAAGGGGGGATTGAGATAAAAGGGCAGAACAACAGAACAGCGCAGGTCAAAACGTAACTATTTAAGCAAAATAGTGTTTCACAAGATATCCTGACATAAAAATAGTCACCATGGTGTCTCCTTGAAATCTTTCAGTATAACTTCGTATACTGTAGCACCAAACATAAAATCAAGACACTATAAAACCATTCAAGAGAATGACATTACTACAGGGTATTTAGAACCAATTAACAGAAAATGAACAATAGTTTCTGTATAATCTCCTTGTCTATAAAAGTTTTTACTTATATTACCATATATAATAAAATCCAATAAGATACAACCGTTTAAGACCAATGGAGACAGAAGAATACAAGTTTGATGGGACTTCAAAACAAAGTGATACTAAATCAGCACTAGCTATTATGATGTCTTGTTTTCTCCAAAATAGCTGTTCCTACCATCCGATCTTCTCTGCCTCATTTCTGTTGGTCTCTTTTGCTGTCATTTGTTGTCAGTTTGTCTTCTTTATTTCACTTTCTGCTCCATTCATTGTGGCCTCTGTGCCACTATTTCTGGAATCTTAATATTTTCCTTTTTTAGAATATCCTGCAGTATTCTCTGTAAAGTTGAACTGGTGGTTGCAAATTCCCCTAGTTCCTCTTTATCCTGGAAGCACCTTGTTTTTCTATCAATTTCTAGGGACAGTTGTGCAAGATATATCAATCTTGGCTGGAGGTTATTATCTTTCAAAGCTTGAATTATTTCCCCCCACGCTCTTCGTGATTTGTGCCAAGAAGTCTGCTGTAATTCTGATGGGTGTTCCCTTGTAAGCAATCTGTTTCTTGTCTCTGACGGCTTTTAGTATTCTGTTCTTATATTGGATTTCTGGAATTTTGATATGACTGGGTGTAGCTCTGTTTGGGTTGTAGGTGGCTGGGGTCCTGTATGCCTCATACTTCTGAGTATCTTTACCTTTTGCTAAATTAGGGAAATTCTCTTGGATTATTTCTGTGAATAGCCTTTGTAGTCCATTTGTTTGTGTCCCTACTTCTTCTTTTATGTTCTTAATTCTTAAGTTATAGATCCTCTTATCATCTAGTTTTTGTATTGTTGCTGTTTGGTTTTTTTTGTTATTTTTTAAGAAGTTTCTCATTTCATGCTCCCATATTACAAGTCTGCCCCGCAGTTCAGATAATCTATCTTTAGTTTCTTTCAAGCTCTTATGCCAGTTTTTGATAGGGTTTTTAGTTTCCTGGTAGTCTCTTTGAATCTGCTTCACGTATTCTATGTTTTCTCTATTTTCTTCATCAAACAATTCTCCCCTTTTTTTCTGTTCTTCCATTCCACTATCTGTTTTTTCTTGGGTGATGTTTAGCATTTCTCTAACTATTCTACTTATATCTTGCTTCAGGTCGTTAATAACTTCATTCCTGAACTCGTCTATGAGGCTCTGGAGATAGCGCTTTATGTCTATTGGTGCCGTGTCTGATAGTGCATGTTTCTCAGGATTGGGGGCCGAGGACCCTTTCTTGTTGCTCCCTCTTCCCATATTTTTTGTTCCTCTTATACAAACGAATATAGGAGGCCCAGTTTCTTTCTTTGTCGGTTACAGTTTGTTT